AAATCCATGTAAAGCAATGTTCTTTAAAATGATCTGTATGGATTGACTGCCCTTTTAAATAGAGTTCTTTAATACTGCTTTGTCCACCCCTTTTTTCAAGTTTTAATTTTCATTCCAATTAGTTAACATACAGTGTTATATTAGTTTTAGGTTTACAATATAGCGATTCAACCTTTCCCTACATCATCATGACAGGTGCACTCCTCATCTCATTTCCCATCTCCTATTTAATCCATCCCCTAGCCCTTCTCCCCTCTGGTGACCATCAGATTCTTCTCTATAGCTAAGAGGCTACTTCTTGTTTTGTCTCTTTCTCTCTTTCTCTTTGTTTTCCCCTTTGTTTTCTTTCCAAAATTCCACCTATGAGTGAAATCACATGTCGTCACTCTCTGAATTATTTTGCTTAGGATAATACCCTCTAGCTCCTGGTATCCCTGGGTTGCTCAGTGGTTGAGCGTCTGCCTTAGGTTCAGGGCGTGGTCCTGTAGTCCCAGGATCAAGTCCCACATTGGTCTCCTTGCATGGAGCTTTTCCTCCCTTTGCTTATGTCTCTGCCTCTCTCTCTGTGCCTCTCATGAATAAATAAAATCTTTAAAAAACAAATACTCTTTAGCTCCATCCATATTGTTGCAAATGACAAGATTTCATTCTTTTGTATGGCTGAGTCATATTCCAATATATATTCCATTCTTCTTAATCCTTTCATCAATTATTTGAATCTTGTGCTTCTTCCATATCTTGATTATTGTAAATAATGCTGCTATAAACATAGGCATGCATGTATCCCTTTGAATTTGTGATTTTGTATTCTTTGGGTAAATACCCAGTAGTGTAATTGCTGGGTCTTAGTGTGGTTCTATTTTTAACCTTTTGAGGAACCTCCATACTGTTTTCCACAATGCCTCTACCAGTTTTCGTTGTAATCAACAATATATGAATGTTTCTTTTTCTCCATATTCTCACCAATACCTATGGTTTCTTGTAAAGTTAATTTTAGCCATTCTGACAAGTGTAATGTGATTTCTCGTTGTAGTTTTGATTTGCATTTACCTCTTGATAAGTGATGATAAATATCTCTTCATGTGTCCTCTGGCTATCTGAATACTTTCTTTGGTGAATTGTTTATTCCTGTCCTTGGCCATTTTTCAAATTGGATTATTTCCTTTTTCAGTGTTGAATTGTAGAAGTTCTTTTTGTTGTTTTATCAGATATGTCACTTCGAAATATCTTCTCCCATTCCATATGTTGCCTTTCAATTTCAGTGATTGTTTTCTTTGCCTTGTAGATGCTTTTTATTTTGATATGGTCTGATCAGTTTTGTTTAGATTTTGTTTCTATTGTCCCAGGAGTCATATCTAGGAAAAAGTTGCTCCGGCCAGTCTACCCCTTTGAAGATAAAATAAATTAATTTATTTAGTTACTTAAGCTTTTTAGAATTATTTAACTGATCACATCTGTCAAAATATGTATTGATGTTTTTCCCTATCATATTTCTCATAACATAGTGGAAAATGCATGCTCTAGAAGTATTTCTTGGGATCCCTGGGTGGCGCAGTGGTTTGGCGCCTGCCTTTGGCCCAGGGCGCGATCCTGGAGACCCGGGATCGAATCCCATATCGGGCTCCCGGTGCATGGAGCCTGCTTCTCCCTCTGCCTGTGTCTCTGCCTCTCTCTCTCTCACTGTGTGCCTAACATAAATCAAAAAAAAAAAATTTTAGAAGTATTTCTTTTGTCACATCGTGCAGAAAGCATATAATGATAGGTTTTGGAAAGAACTAGTTAGCCATTTTGAGAGAAGTAAAATGGTCCTCTACCTAAGCCTACCACGAAATAAATCCAATGTGAATTAAATGTAAACAAAAGCAGTGATGTAGGTGAACCCTGAGGTAGCTATGTAAAATTTTTATGAGGAGATAGTTTGTGAGTATTTTTCTAATCTGGATATTATAATGGAAAAATTTGAAAGAGTTCTCCACATTGAAAAAAAATGAAGAAATTCCAATGACAATAAGAAAAGTCCCTCTTATTTCAAATGCAAGTAAAATGAAGTTTTAAAACACTGGAAAATATTTCTTTTATTTACTCAGTTAAATGAGTAATATCTTTAATATTAAAAAGTGTAGTAAACTTGGGGTGGGGATCCCTGGGTGGCTCGGCGGTTTAGTGCCTGCCTTCGGCCCAGGGTGTGATCCCGAGGTTCTGGGATCGAGTCCCACGTCGGGCTCCCTGCATGGAACCTGCTTCTCCCTCTGCCTGTGTCTCTGCTTCTCTCTCTCTCGGTGTCTCTCATGAATAAATAAAATCTTTAAAAAAAAAAGTGTAGTAAACTAATAGGAACATCAAACATTCACAAAAACAAGGAATACAAATTGTCATCTAAACAAAGAAGAGGGGCAGCCCTGGTGGCGCAGCGGTTTAGCACTGCCTGCAGCCTGGGGTATGATCCTGGAGACGTGGGATCGAGTCCCACATCGGGCTTCCTGCATGGAGCCTGCTTCTTTCTCTGCCTCTCTCTCTCTGAATAAATAAATAAATCTTTAAAAAAAAAAAAATAAACAAAGAAGAGGGGCAGCCCGGGTGGTTCAGCAGTTTAGCGCCGCCTTCAGCCCAGGACCTGATCCTGGAGTCTCAGGATCGAGTTCTACATCGGGCTCGCTGCGTGGAGCCTGCTTCTCCCTCTGCCTGTGTCTCTGCCTCTCTCTCTCTCTCTCTCTCTCTCTCTCTCTCTCTCTCTCTCATGAATAAATAAATAAAATATTAAAAAATAATAAACAAAGAAGAATTTAGAAGGTCCAATATAGATGGAAAACATGTTTATTGTTTTTAATGTATAAATACATATTAAAAGAACAGCATGGAATTTTTTTTTTCTATTATGGCAAAAAAACTATTTTGTCACTGACTGCTGATAACATGTGGACATAACAAGGCTGATGAGATTGATAAGTGTATAAATTGACAAAACCATTCTGGTGGTCTGTGAAGCAACTGATAGGAAAATTATGAGTTTGGAGGTAGCTGGCTGGCTCAGGCAGTAGAGCATGTAATTCTTGATTTCGGGATTATGGATTTGAGTCCTATGTTGGGTGTAGGGATTACTGAAAAATAAAAAAAATCTATTAAAAATTAAAATATTGCTTGTAATTTTCATTTGTTATAAAGTACAATAAAGTACAATTCTATTACGTGTTAAGCTTTTTTTTTTTTAGATTTCATTTATTTATTCATGAGAGACACAGGCAGAGGGAGAAGCAGGTTCCTCGCAGGGAGCCCGATGTGGGACTTGATCCTGGAACTCCAGGATCATGCCCTGAGCTGAAGGCAGATGCTCAACTGCTGAGCCACCCAGGCGTCCCTACTTGTTAGGCTTCTTTTCTATTTACTTTATTGACTTTGATATTTTTTTCTCTTCTACTGTTCTTATGTTTATTATGATTTTTTCCTCATTATTTGTGGTTAATGATGGCTTTGCTAATATCCTTTCTTTCTTATACAATAATACATCTTAAAATATTAAGATTTAATTTCTTCTCTAATTACAAATCCCAAAAATTTTGTAAGCTCTTTTTGTGTGTGTGTTATTTTTTTATGTTTTATGATCTCAGCCACCTTTATTTTTTTTCTGACCTTTAGTAGTCCAAACCCTTAAATGCCAAAAGCATAAGTGACTTTTGAAATTGTTTAGCCCTTTTTTGGCTACCAGTTGCACTTAATTCTGAATTGTTTAAGGCTGAGAAAAATCTATCTCCTGCCTAAAATTCCAGCCTTATCTTGGCCTCATCTCTTCTTTGCTCTTCATCTTCCAGCCATAGTATCCTTCCCATATTGTCTTGTGCATACCAAGTAATTATCTTTTCCCGTGCTCCATTGCTTAGTTGGCTGACGCTTCGTTCTTCAGTTCTTCCTTTAATTATCAAATCATCAGACTTTCTGTCAGTCCTTTGTTCATTTTTTTTCCACAATTGATTCTCTATCCCATCTTTTTAAGAACACACCATATAAAAGATGAAGAGATATATTTTGTTGTAAAGAACATTGTGTTATAAGTTTCCTTTCTTTATAGCAACTGGATAAAAGCTCTGTGTGGACAGGGATCATATCTGTCTTATTTTTAATTTTATTCCAATGAAAAGAGATAGACAACAAAATTGAAAATTTTATAGGCATTTAGAAAGTTATGCAGAATATCTTTTTTTAAAAAAGATTTTATTTATTAGAGACACAGAGAGAAAGAGAGAGGCAGAGACACAGGTGGAAGGACAAGCAGGCTCCATGCAGGGAGCCCAATGTGGGACTCCATCCCGGGACGTCAGGATCACGCCCTGGGCTTAAGGCAGGTGCCAAACCGCTGAGCCACCCAGGCGTCCCGTTATGCAGAACTTGTAATGTGTTTTTAATAGTCTCAGAAAGGAAGTTGGCAATAAAATGGGATAAAAGAAAAAATGCAATTTATAATATTATGAAATTATGAGGTTTTAAAATTAAATCATTGTTCACCAAAAATACCAAATATTCACATTATAGATGGTCGTTTTAAGTGATAATTGCTTGAACATGTACTCATTTAAATATATGTCGGCAAATATTGTTAAGTGCAACAATGAAAAGAAATCCTACAATCTTTGAAGAAAGGTTTTTTTTGCTACATTTTACTTTATTTTTACACATAATGAAAACAATCGACTAAGCAGTTCCAGAATTACTAGTGTTCATTAATCCAGAAATAAATGAAGTCAGAAGGCAAACTTTTCATTTTTTCCCTAAACATATATTGCAAGTATCACAGAAAGTCCTAACAACACATGCAACATGGGCTGGTTTCAACATACAGTTTCAACATACAGAGAGCCCAAGCAAGGGTGAATACTAGGATCCATGTGAGTCAGACCATGAGCAGTGCTCCAGAACAGTAGAATCTACCCAGCGGGTCATTAGCCCTGCCCTACCATACACATTTGCCCTGTGCACTGCCCTCTGTCAGATTCCAATCCTAGCAGCTCTTTTCTCCCACATTCCAGGCTCATTTCCTCCTATCCCAAAGTGGATATTCCACACACAGAAGTCCAGGCAGCTCCAAATATATTCTCCCAACGGTATTTCACTTGGCATCTCCACAAGCCAAGCTCCAGCTCAAATTCTGTACAAGAAGTTCCCATTGCTATCGAAGAACTCTCGCCCCCTTTGGACTACTTTGCTGCTGAAGTTCTGGTTATCCAGCTCCTGAGTCTTCAAATCTTGCAGCTTGTCACTTGGCAATCCATAACCATCAGTCCGTCTTTTGCCCACACCATCACTGGTGGAGCACTTCTGCAGCTCTCGCTGATGACTTAGGGCTGCAGGAACAGCCACGGAGCGCTCCTCCTCCAGGGTCTGGATTCCTTTATTCCCTCCCTTCTGCCTCCTTGGTGTATTTTTACTGTGAGTGTTTGATTCTATCACTGTCAAAGGTCTGCGGTGACCCCAGCCTTTGAATGAAGATTCACCCCTTGGCATCAACAAAGAGCCTGATCTAGAGTGGCTTGCAGATAGCGACTTCAAGGTATCCTCAGGCCCGGGGAGCTGCTGCAGGGAATGGGAAAACCCGGCTTTCTTAAGGACTTGCTGATCCTGCTTCAGTTTCTGCTCCAGTGTGGGTACAAACTTGCTTTTTAAAACCCTTCGGATCACATCAGGGCCGACACCAAAGCCTTCAGCTAGCCTAGGAACTGACCAGGACTCTGCAAATTCTTTATGTAAATACCGGATCTGCTCCATCGCTTCCCACGTCAGGGTCCTGGGCGGGGCCCCAGGCGCCTCCATCCGCCTCCGAATTTTCTGGAACCGGGCGGCCTTTTTCTGTCGTTTCAAGGTGCTGGGGGAGAGAACCAACGGCAGAAGCCATGCTTGGGGGCAAAACGAGCTGCTGCAGAGCCTCGGACTACATCAAAGGGAGCCCAGCCCTCTTCTCTTTGTTCGCAGGGGCCGCCGAGCCACGTGTTGGCTGACACCCGCTCCGTACACTCCCCAGAATCTAAACCCTAACACAGCCCGTGAGAAGGCCAAACTTCCTAAACAGGTGATGAAATACGTCCCTAGTGAAGAAACCTGTGGTCCCTGTAGGCAGCCGCACAGCTGCCTCCGCGCCCTCTCACGACGGGTGAGAAACAAGGGCTGCGGCGGCGCGACGCCCGGCTCCGAGGGGGCGCCGCGGCCTGGAGCGCCGGGGCCCGAAGCCCTCCCTCGTGCTGAGGGTCGGGAAGGAGCTGGTACCTCTCCACCTCCTGCAGCTCCCGCTCCTCCGGCTCCCAGTCGGAATCAGGATCCGGCTCGCGGCCCAGAGCGCCGGGGTCCGCCACCCCCCGAGTCGCGAACCCACGACGAGCGACGGCAGCAGGGACGCGCGCGCCCAGCAAGAGGCTCAGAGCGACCGCCGTGCCGACAACCGCCGCCCGACCGCCTGAAGAAAGATAATCATGCAGAGGAACATGATCATTTAAGGACATAGTTTTCCAAACATGATTGGAACATGCAAGGAATGAGAGAATTTTCTTCTTACATACTCCCTTGAAAAATGTCCAGATTTTCATTCTGGTAAGATAAAAACTACATATATAAAAGATGACATAGGTTACATGAACTAGAAATTATCAATGATACAAGTGAATGAAGTTATTTGGTCTAAATATGGGGTTAGTTCATAAAGTAAATTACAATCCATAGCTATGAAGAATAAAAGTCACAGATTTACAAATGTACTGCTACCAATATCTAGAATGTTTGCTGATACATAGTTGGTGCTTTTTATACATACATTTGTTGAATGATTTAGGAGAAAGAAGGAAGAGAAAGTGAACCAAAGACGTTGTTTTCTTTAGAATGAAGTTTAGATTAACCCTAGAAAAATGGTAAGCAAGCTTTTCTTTAAAAAAAAAAAAGATTTTATTTATATATTCATGAGTGACACAGAGAAAGTGAGACACAGAGTCTCCCCTGCAGGGAGCCTGAAGAGGGACTAGGTCCCAGGACTCTGGGATGGTGACCTGAGCCAAAGGCAAATGCTCAACCACTGTTCCACCCAGGTGTCCTGGTGAGCAAATTTTTTTTAATATATTTTTTTAAATTTTTATTTATTTATGATAGTCACACAGTGAGAGAGAGAGAGGCAGAGACACAGGCAGAGGGAGAAGCAGGCTCCATGCACCGGGAGCCTGACGTGGGATTCGATCCCGGGTCTCCAGGATCGCGCCCTGGGCCAAAGGCAGGCGCTAAACCGCTGTGCCACCCAGGGATCCCCGTGGTGAGCAAATTTTTAAAGAAAATGATAGTGATTATTTTTTTTCTTGGGAAGCCAAAGGTCAATCAAGGCTATTATAGGCAATTATATACAATATTTATATGATAACATTTAAAAATGTTAAAGCACTCTTAATTCAGGGGTGTTTCAAAAAGAATGATGTTAAAAAAAAAAAAAGAATAATGATGATCTAGAGTTTGACTTAACCCGCAGAGTATATCTTGCCACTACCCTAGGAATGATAGTTACATTAATCTGAAAACTTAAAAACTTTGAGTGAATATTCTTTTCACATTAGACGGGTAAACCAACCAACCAACCAAACAAAAAGACACATTAGTGTATGATGAAACAATATTACCAACAGTGTTTAAACAAGAATTCAGTGTATCTAGAAAAAATATATAAATGGCAGGAATATGTCCAAATTTGGTATAGATCATGATATACACGGAAGATTTAAATTGCTCCAGAAATAGCAATATACTCACATATGATTTTGAAAAATAAGGTATAATAATTAAATGTCTAAGACAAAATGATATAGTATGTTGAAATACTAGAATATAAAATATGCCAAGGATAACATGTTCATCTGAAATTAATTTCAGTCAAAAATAGATTGAATTTAATGATATATTGATGTAAATTGCTAAAAGGTATAAGCTACTATGTAGGTATAGCTAGGAAACTTAAGCACTACCATTACAGAGTGGAAGTATTTTTAGGATCAATCGATATAAGCAAACAATCCCCAAATCATTATGGGATAACATATATAGCACAATTTACATTGTAAAAATTAGAATCTATTTTGTCTGCATTTCACAAAATTTCGTGGAGAACTGTGAAAGCAAGGTGGAAACTCCCATTGCAAAACTTGTCTCATAAAGGAACTATTAGTGTTACCACTCTTGCTCAATACAAGTCAGAAAAGCAGATGCCTACTTAGAACCTGTGTCCACACATTATTTATAGTCTTACATCGCAGTGTCTGATTAGTAGACCTTTGATCATACAGCCTGTATTGTGGCTATTCAAGATAGGAAATGGGAGAATTTCCTACATATTAATTACCATGGCATGATGGTACTTCTGTGGAAAACTGTATCTAAGAGGGTATTGGGCAGCACTGCATGGCATATGTTTACTATACCCTGTCGTAGTCTACCTGACTGGGGTATTTCTGGAAACACCATATAACATTTCAACATTTTTCTTGTTTTAAGCTACAGTGATATGATTCTATTTAATATGATGCAAGTAACCCACAAGGAAGAGAGTACATTTTTACCCTTTCCCTAAAGGGAGAGACCTAGTATCCTTATGTTTTTATTTTTTTTTTTGTTCTTCCCATTTTTATTTTTTTTATGAATTAATTTTTATTGGTGTTCAATTTACCAACATACAGAATAACACCCAGTGCTCATCCCGTCAAGTGTCCCCCTCCGTGCCCGTCACCCATTCACCCCCACCCCCCGCCCTCCTCCCCTTCCACCACCCCTAGTTCATTAAGTTCAGGATGTTTGGATGCTTCTCATTTATTTTCTAGGTCAGACACATTAAAAAAATAAAGTTCTGTAAATTTTGGGCTAAAATATAAAGTTTAGAAGCACAGATATACTATATCATTTCCAGATCTATTTAAGATGACATTTTTTATGGCTGCCTTTTCTCTCTAAACTCTCCATTTTCTCTTTGTCTTTGCCTGGCAAAATAGCTGGTTAATTCTTAACTGATATCTTAATCTGTTTGGGTTCATATAACAAAGTACCACAGGGGCAGCCCAGGTGGCTCATTGGTTTCGTGCTGCCTTTGGCCCAGGGTGTGGTCCTAGAGATCTGGGATGAAGTCCCAGGAGGGGCTCCTTGCATGGGGCCTGCTTCTCCATCTGCCTGTGGCCTGTGTCTCTACCCCCCCCCCTCTCTCGGGAATAAATAAATTTAAAAAAATAAATAAAACAGTACCACAGAATTTGTACCTCAGAAACAACAGAGGTTATCTATTACTATTGTGAAGGTTGGTTGTCTGAGGTCAGGGTGTGAGCACTGTCCAGTGAGGGCTCTCTTTTGGTTGTAGACTTCTAATATCCTTACATGGAGGAAGAACAGGATTTCTCTTGAGTTTGGGGTCTCATGACCAAATCACCTCTGAATGTCCTCACCTCCTAATACAACTACCTTTGGTGGTTAGGATACAGTATTTGAATTTTGGGTAGATACTTGTACCGCAGCTCTAGGGTAGATCAAATGTTCACTCATGAGATATCTATCATTAGTATCTATCATGATAGATGACATGTCTATCATCTACCTATGAGGAGTTTTCTGATCTTTCATTACTTCTTTTGCAATATTATTCCCTGTTACAGCAGTTAATGGGTGAAATTCTATTTCTCCTTGATAATTCAAATAGCAAATATTTACTGAATATTTTCTATATGCAGATACCATTGCTAGGTGCTAAGAGTATATCAGTGAACAAAACAGGAAAAGAAACATTCTAGTGTGACAGCTTAGGCAGTAAGTAGAATAAACTACTACATAATATTTTGTTTGGTGACAAAAGACTTTGAGCAGAACTAAAGAAAATAAGCAGGATAGAAAGAATTGCTAAGGGCAAATGTGAGATTCTTCAATTTCAAATTAGATTCTGAGAAGACTGCTAGAAAGATATTTTAGAGTTCTCCATATTTCACCACACCCAAGTCAGGTTCCCTCCAAATGTCTAACCATCTGACCAAACAATTATCTATTTCCGTGAATCAGTATGTATCTTCATTTGAGGTCATTTCCTTATTTGTTGATCTAATGCATTGACACAGAATTGAGGGAGATAAACCAGGCATAGGTAATCATAAATCTGATAACAGGAGAAAGAGTACTATATATTGGGTATTATGTTTTGCGCTACCCAGTTGGTTCCATACTAAGGTTCCCTTTAGATCACTTCAGAATTTTATTTACACAGCTACCTCTGTGAAATGATGTTCATTGTACAACCACTAATTTCCCAGAATTTTTCCTTCATGGTCTTATTTCTTTTGATGAAGACAGATCAGGTTTCTTCATGTTACATAAGGTTCTCACTGAGTTCATAGATGGCATTGGATAGAAGCATAGTGAGAATGTAAAAAAAAAATCATATCCAGATTATCTAGTCCAGTGAGAATATACTGCTATGGTCTTTATGACAGAAGATATAAAATATTCTTCTCCACTTTGCAGCACAATCATTCCTGCCTATTTTGTGTAATAGCACTGTGTTTGGTACTCAAAGTTGTTTTCTACCAATGCCAGTTTTTTCACTGGAGTATATTTCTTCAACAATCTCCATAATATCTTTCATTCTATGTGCTCTTTATTAGAACTTCTTACTCCTCCATCAAGAAATGGAGTATGTGTTCCTTCTTCTTGATTTTGGGTGACTACTTGATTGACTATATTAGTAGAGTATTGTATAAATAGTACTATGTCTATTCCAAGACTATCTCATAAACAGGTGTTTCTCTGAATGCTCACTTTTGTGACCTAGTAATCATAGTATGAAGAAGCCAAGCAGTCCATGGAATCAAAGCCATTAAAGTTCAGCTCAGCTGAGCTTCCAGTTAATAGTCATTTGTAATTGCCAGTCATGCATATGGCATGTTGGAATTGAATCTACCAATTCTTGTTTGAGTTTCCTTAGCTGATACTGATTCAAACAAAGAGGAAGCTTCTGACCAAATCCATGCCCAAATTGCAAATTTGTGAGCTGAATCAGTTTTAATTTAATTCACTATGTTATAGTGTGAATTTTTATGCAGCTATAGGTAATTTCATTAAAATCTAAATAAAAACTAACTCAGAAAGGTGAGATTAGGTGATTTTTCATATCTGCTGTTATGACCATTTTATTTTTGTTTTTTAAAAATATTTTATTTATTTATTCATGAGAGGTACAGAGAGAAAGGCAGAGGCATAGCCAGAGGGAGAAGCCGGCTCCTTACTGGGAGACTGATACAAGACCCGATCCCAGTACCCGAGGATCACGACCTGAGCCAAAGGCAGACACTCAACTACTGAGCCACCCAGGTGCCCCTGACCATTTTATTCTTTATCTCCTATACAAAACATTGAGGTGAGTAGGGAAGGAGACCATCATCTCTGTCTATTATAATCTTGTCCACTGATTTATTGATAACTTTTTATTTAAAGATTTATTTTTTGT